TTCCTTCTTTTTCTGTTTCTCTTTCTTTTTCATTCTTTTTGTTTACCTGAATATCTTTTACTTATTAATTATCTATGATCTTTGGAAGATCGAACCTGTCGGACGCAGTCAGTAAAACCTATAATGCATCTTTTTTTCTGCATGTATTTTAATATTCTTCATCCATTCAATATTCTTCTTACTGTCATTATTACATTTCACTTATTTGCATATTCACGCCATATATGGAATCTATGTTATAAAAGAAGAGTCAATTCTCTCCCACTGTCTGTGTGTCACTGTGTAATGCCCGTATGTAATGGATATATTCTTTTAATCATTTCATCAAGGCAATAAAGCTACTAAGAAGCAAGCGATTACTAAGAATATGTGAAAAAGAAAAACATTATTAATTAGACGGAATAATAAAAGAACAGGAATTAAGAAAAGAGAAGATAACGATTGTCTTTGCATTTAAATTTTTGAAGGTCAAAGTTGACTAGAAAGCAAGGTACGTACAAATGCCTGTGCTGTGCATGATTGGCTCACATTTCCTACATTCATTTAATGTATATGCAAGCACCCTGACACATACATACACGCAATATGACCGTAATAAAATATTGGAATAATATATTTCCTTCCCATTCAGTCCGTACAACGCCTACACCGGGCTGAGCAATAAAATCCTGAAGTTGGAAACAAATAAAAAATAGAGAAATATCTCTGCAAAATTCGTAAAAAAACGTACAAAAGCCGTAAAAATATCACATAATTAAAAGATTCAGGAATTATTCGAGAATGAATAGAATTTTTTTTAATTTTGTAGAATTATTTTTTATTGTTTTTTTTTTTAATTTTTTAGAATGATTTTTAAAGTTTTTGTTTTTAATTTTGTTGAATTTTTTTTAAAGTGTTTTTTTTTTAATTTTGTAGAGATATTTTTATGTTTTTCTTGGAATTAAAATATATATACGCGCATGCAAACGTACATTCACATAGAATTGTGCATCTGTGACGCAAAAGTTTATTTCTCCCTCTGACTGGCAACAAACTTTGGTAACAAGAAAATATTATAAGTTGCTCTGATGCTATATTTATGAATCACTCGGCAATTTAAACTGGATATATTTAGTAATAAATGTTGTATTTTAATTGGACAAATAATTTAGATTTGAAATTTGTCATCGAAGCAACGGAGGATTAGGGAGAATAAATTTCCTAAAATCCTCAGCACCTTCCTCAGTATCAACGCAGACTCCAACACTGTCGTTATCTAGAGACTCTCAATTCTTCTTCGTACCTCTGTTATGGTTATTTATATTATTTACATTATTCGGACTGTTATGTTTATATTCATTGCCATATTCATAACGTTTTGGCCGTTGTGCGCTACGGCTTTCTTTAGGCGACTGGAATTTCGAACCGAACCCTTTATTTCGCGCACCGGGATAGATTGTTCTAGTTCCACGTGTCGTGCCTCTTCCAGATGTCTCAGTTATTTCCCTTTAATTCAACTCTCCAAGTATTGGTTCACCACTAGTGTAGACTGGTATTGAACCCACAACTCTTTTGGTCTAGTCACTGGATCTAACCAATGCCTTTATCCACTGGGCCATGTGTCCTTATGGTGTTGGATTTTTGTTGTTTATTTTATTTTTTTATTTTTTGTCAACGGTTCCAAATAACTCAACTATTATGGACAAGCTTTTAACTTTCGCTTCCTACTGTTTTCTGGACTTCTAGGTAAAGTTTTGGTATTTTTCTTCTTTCTTTGTTTCTTTTTCATTTCCATTCTGTGTTCCGCTATCACGGCCACAACTATAATCTGACACTTCTTCTTTTCTTTGTTTACGATTATCATATCTCGTCTCCTCACTTACATTGGGTTATCTTCTTTTTTCTTTTTTTTTTTTTGTTAAACTTTTCACCTCAAGCAATGTCATAATGCCACTAAGACACAAGTGACTACTGGTGAGTGAAAGAGAAGTCTTTACAAGCAACCGGAAACCCAATCCTAAACAGAAAACAAGGGATAAACCTCTACTCCTGTTCAAAAGAACGGTGGTAATTATTAACCGGACGATAGGCGAACCTATAAATTTATATTAATCTGAAACTTCATATTATATCATATTCTGTCATGAACAACTTCTATTAATGACATTCGAACCCAATCATTTGCACAGTTCTTAGTGTACAACTCTGTATCTATAATATTTTTAAGTCATCTCCAACCCCTATTTTGGCCATTTTGATTCTGTCATTGACACAGATGAGCCCTCTACCTTATTTTAATTTCATTTTGCATTTAGTGTGTCGTAGTCATAAGTGGAGTGTAGAACCTACTTGGTCCGTCAACCCCTGGATTCGAGTTACAATTTTGTCCAACAGAGGAAGTATCGCCTGAACCTCATTGCTGATACTACCCATGGGTAGAATTATCATTTCTTGACTTGGATCTTCTAATTAGATGGCTAGTAATCATCGTTGGGAGTGGGTGATATTTGGTGATGATCGTTGGGAGCTGGGTGATATTTGGTCATCATCGTTAGTGTGTGGGTGATATTTGGTCATTCTCGTTGGGGGTGGGTGATATTTGGTTATGTTCGTTGGGGAGTGGATGATATTTGGTGATGATCGGTTGGTGTGGGTGATATTTGGTGATGATCGTTGTGGGGTGGGTGATATTTGGTGATGTTCGTTTGGGGTGATTGATATTTGATGATGATCGTTGGTGGGTGATAATGGTGATGATCGTTGGGAGGTGGGTGATATTTGGTGATGATCGTTGGGTGGTGGGTAATATTTGTTAATGATCGTTGAGGTCAGTGATATTTAGTGATGATCGTTTGGAGTCGCTAATGTTTGATGATGTTCGTTGGGCGGTGGGTGATATTTGGTGATGATTGTTGAGGGGTGATATTTGATGATGACCATTGGAGGGTGGGTGATATTTGCTGATGATCATTGGGAGGAGTGTGATATTTGGTGATGATTGTTGGATGTCGGAGATATTTGGTCGTGATCTTTGAGGGGTGGGTGATATTTGGTGAAGATCGTTGGGAGGTGCGTGATATTTGGTGATGTACGTTTGGGATGGGTGATTTTGATGATGATCATTGGTGGGTTTGTGATATTTGGTGCTGATCGTTGGCGGCGGTTGATATTTTTGTTGATGATCGTTCTGGGTGCGTAATATCTCGTAATGATCGTTGAGGGGGGTGATATTTGATGATGATCGTTGAGGGGCTGATATTTGGTGATGATCGTACTGGGTGGGTGATATTTCATGATGTTCGTTTGGGGTAGGTGATATTTGATGATAATCGTTGTGGGTCGGTGATATTTGGTGACGTTCGTTCGGGGTGGGTATATTTAGTGATGATCGTTGGATGGTGGGTGATATTTGATGATCATCGTTGGAGGGTGGGTCATTTTTGGTGATGATCGTTGTGGGTGGTTGATATTTGGTGATGTTTGCTGGGGGGTGATATTTGGTTATGGTCGTTGGTGTGATATTTGGTGATGATCAATGGGGATGGATGATATTTGGTGATGATCGTTGGCGGTGTTTGATATTTGGTGACGATCGTTGTGGGTGATATTTGGTGATGATCGTTAGTAGGTGGGTGATATTTGGGTGTGGGTGATATTTGGGGATGATCGGTGGGGGCGTTTGATATTTGGAGATGATCATTGGCAGTGGGTGATATTTTGTGCTTATCCTTGGGGAGTGGTGATATTTGGTGTTGATCTTTGAGGGATGGGTGATATTTGCTGATGATCGTTGGTGTATGGGTGATATTGGTGAAGATCGTTGGGGGTGGGTGATATTTGATGATGATCATTGGTGGGTGGGTGAAATTTGGTGATGATCATTGGTGGGTGATATTTGGTGATGATCGTTGGAGGGTGGGTGATATTTGATGATGATCGTTGGGGGTGGGTGATATTTCGTGCTGATCGTTAGGGTGGGTGATATTTGGTGATGATCAGTGTGTATGGGTGATATTTGCTGATGATCGTTGTGGGTGATATTTGCTGGTGATCGTTGGAGGTCGGTGATATTTGGTGATAATCGTTGCGGGCGTTTGATATTTGGTGAAGATCGTTGGGGGTGGGTGTTCTTTTGTGCTGATCCTTGGCGAGTGGCTGATATTTGGTGATGATCGTTGGGGTCGCTGATATTTGTCGATGATCGTTGCGGGTGGGTGATATTTGGTGATGATCGTTTGTGTGATATTTGGTGATGTGATGGGTGTGGGTGATGTTTGGTGATTATCGTTAGGAGGTGGGACATAATTGATAATGATCGTTAAGGAATGGGTGATATTTGGTGATGATTGTTGGTGGCGTTATTTTTTATGATGATCGTTGGCTGTGATATTTGTGTTGATCGTTGGGAGGTGGGTGATATTTGGTGATGATCGTTGTGGGTGGGTGATATTTGGTGATCATCCTTGGTTTGTTGGTGATATTTGGTGATCATCGTTGGGGTGCGTGATATTTAGTGAGAGTGATATTTGATGATGTTCGTTGGTTGTTGGGTGATATTTGGTGATGATCGTTGGAGGTTGGTTATATTTGGTGATGATCTTTGAGGGGGCGGGTGATATTTAGTGATGATCGTTGAGGGTGGGTGATATTTGGTGATGATCTTTGGGGGTGATATTTGGTGATGATCTTTGGAGGGTGGGGGATATTTGCTGATGATCGTTACAGGGTGATATTTGGTGATGATTGGTGGATGGGTGATATTTGCTGATGATCGTTGTGGAGCTGGCTGATATTTGGTAAGTGTTTTCACATCTCCAGCACATTTCTCAGGATATTTCCCTGAATTTTAATTTTTTCCAAAATTTATTCGACTGATTTATACACGATTCCCTGATATGGCGAACAAGAGATGAACCTTTATGCGCAAAACAATGTGCAGGTGCTCGTTGTACTTTCCAATTTTTGCTTTGTTTGGCTTGCCTTCTGCATTTTGCTGGTATCCCCACGTCTAAATTCTTGCATGCCTTCTTTTCGTTGTTTACGATTATAAAATCTGGTCATCCTGCGAGAATAAACTGTTCAGATTGAACTTCGAGCAGATCAATTTATCTATGTTTTCTTCGAAAGCCTCACTTTATTCTTTCTTTCTTTTGTCATGCATTCATTTTCTCACCTTGCATTTTCTTCTTCTTCTTCTTCTTCTTCTTCTTCTTCTTCTTCTTCTTCTTCTTCTCTGCTACCTTCGTAGTATTTTCCATCTATTCTTTCTTCGACAACATTATTATTATGATATCCTTTGATTTATGTCTCATACACATTTTCATTCTGGGTCCCGATCACAGACCTATGGTCAAAAATGGCTTCATGATATTTTCCACTGATCATTTGTCTAAAAACAAAACAAACGAAGATCACAGTCATTTTACATAGATAAATGTAATGTATGCGCTATACTTGTGAGTACATTTTTTCTTGTATTTCTTTAAGGCATTTGCTACCAGGAATCCCTTCACTGAGTCAATCAGAACATTTACCAATCAATCCCAGGTCTCCAATTACAACTGGAATTATTGATGTCCTCATGTACCACATTTTTTAAATTTCTACTTCAAGATCCATGTATGTTGATAGTTTTCTTGAAGATCTTCAAAGATATATTAAAATATGCAAGGACTGCCATGTCAATGAGAAAGAACATTCTCTTTTTGTGGTCTGTGATGACGATGTTTGGCTGATTAACTGTGATTCTTCTGCCTGTGTGTGTTTTGTCGAGTCCCATAAAATTATTACAGGTCCTATATCTGTAACTGGGTCTGGTGATGTTCATGCCAGTTTCTTACAGTTTCCTGTCCGTAAAAAGTGCATATTTTCCAGTGCAGATTTTGGCCCACTCTATCATGGTAAGTTTTATATTCAGTGGGTGCTAACACTGTGTAACATGATAGAAAGATGACCAATTGTTTCTGGATATTTATCACAAAAACTTCATTTCGGGTTAACCCAATTTTTCACTATGTGTGTTTGGTGTGTTTGGTAATTTCTAGTTAGCAAACATTGGTTCGGTGGAGTAAGAATAAAAGCTTCAGTTTCAGCTTTTAACCCCGAACTACGTCACCCCTAATGGGTACGGGGGGGTTGTCTACATTAGCTTGATTGTACGGGTATTGGCCATAAAGAGGCTTATTTTGTCATAGTTTCTTCATTTGGTACATTGCATTTGCTTTTACTTTCTTTTTTGGATTCTTTGCCGCTGCAGTAGGTGTATTGTGGTTTATTTGCACTTCTTCAACAACTTGAAATTCCATTTTGAATTTGATGATTTCCATTATTACTGAAGAAAGTTTACTTCTTTCATGTTCTTTGACATAGAACATCATCTAGTTTTCTCTTGTTTCCAATGCATCTTTGAAGACCGATGGTTGCAGTCTTGTAAGACATTTCTCGTTGAACTAATCCTCTGCCTCCTTCGGATCTCGACACATACGGACGATCAACGTTAGACTTAGGAGGATGCATGCGCTGCCAAGTGAGAAGCTTTCTTCTTTTGACACCCATTCGCTTAATGTCAGTCATTATTATTATTATTATTATTATTATTATTATTATCATCTTTTCTCTTCTTTTACGTACAATCCCTTAACAGGTCATTACGCAATACTTAGAGTAAGGCAAGATAGTAAATATATGCATTCTGTTTGCATTAATTTCTGATGTTAATTGATAATTAACACGCACAGTGTCGATAAGCAGTTCTAATCAGTGGATTTTTTAACCTCTTAAAGCTACCGGGGATCTTCTTCCTACTTTTCTTGCTTCTGCATTTGCTTCCAATTATTATAGAGAAAAGGGCAGTTTTAAAGTATCACGAGTTCTGCTTTATTATTATTATTATTATTGTGTGCAGTACTATCTTGACAGACAGTAATCTTAAGTGCCGAATTACCAAATCCCCTCCATAGTCTATAAGTAAAAAGGGCTCTCTCTTTAAGAGAGTCATCTATGCCCATTCGGGACATCTCGTTCGGATGGAGAGGGTTTTGCTTATGATATGCTCAGTCCAGAACTAAGTAATCATATGTAGCTGTGAGATTCTGATGTGTCCAGGAATTTTAATGCCTTGATTTCTCGCTACCCTTCTTTATCATACTCAGTTTGCCTCAATCACAACTGGGATAATCCTACTCTTAAGTTTCTACATTTCTGTTATTTCGATTTGCAGGTCCTTATAATTTTACACTTTTTGAAATTCTTTTTTAGAGACATTTAAATCCTATGGGTAAGTCCTATTAATTAGTTGACATGTTCCTTTTTTGAAATCTTTTATGATTGTTTGGTCTATGCACATCAATTTCCCGGTCTGTGAGGATTTGGAAATTCTGCAATATAGCCACCCATCATGTCACATCATTTGGTTGGTGTTTGTACCATGTATCCAAGACTTCAGTTCCATACTTCGAAGAGATTATTATTATTATTATGATTATTATAATAATAAAGGTTTCATTTTGAATGTCTGTTGTAATCCCTACGCGCCCAATCTTTTCTAACCTTTGACATAAATCAGAAGTTCTATTATGACTTTTGATTAGTCATCAGAATGAAGGCAATGGAATATTCAGGTGATGAATAACTCTTTTTCGGGTGAAAATAAAATTGAAATGGACAATGTTCTACGCAGAATAAGAACAATGCTGGCAAGTAAGACAGGGTACATAGAGTGACGAAAGTGGTCAGCTTCCATAAATCAAACCAACCTTTTTTTATTTTTTTTTTTTTTTTTAGCCTGGGCTTCTCGGCTCGGATGGAGGTTAAATCTGCCTCTCCCTAAGCAGCAGCAGCTTATAATATTCTCGCAGATGACATATCAAATCAATCCGAACCGCTCGAATCTGGAACCGTAAATATGGCTTATTCAGAAACATAGAGCAATCTCCAGCAGCTCCACTTCCCGTTGGAAATTCTTACAAAGTAACAACCTATTTCACTTTCAATCTTCTTGTTGCTGTATGTATGTGTTATGTTTTCTCTGGGTGGGACCACTACTGACATTTTCCACATTTTCTGCTTTTCTATTTATAAATTCTTATATTTTAACAGTTTGTCTAAGATTTAGATAGAACATTGCAATCAATTGGAACTGTCATATCAGTCAATAAGCAAATATTATTTTCTTTATTTTTCACCTTTATAACAGATCAATTAACTTTCATGTTTATGACTGCTACTGCAATATTTTTTGTTAAGGTCGTTAAGCTCAAGTATTTAACAATATGATAGGGGGAGATTTCTATGAATATTTTATTGCCATAGAACTCGCCTTGAGCTTATTCACCCATTAAGTGAAGAATTAAGATTCATCAGTAATTTCAAATAGGAAAACCGTGAATTATTCACGGGTTAAAACTAATAATAAGAAGAATTAGAACAACAACACCAACAACAACACATTAATACTTGAGGTAATATCTCATTCTTCCTCTTATTCAACCTATATTCCCTTAATTACAGACACTGAGCTCATATTGTAATTATTATTGCTGGTCGCGTATATTTCTATTTTCTATTGTTATTTTCATGAATAACTATTCCCGATTCCTTTATAATTTCTTTTGTTTTTTGCTCTGAATCAATAAGAATTCTTCTTCAGTAATGCCACTGATTTCACTCGTTTTTTTTATTGCATTCTCATTGTCTCTTTCTCTTTCTTCTCAGAATCTGATATATTTTACTCACCATTCTTTATTCGAAAGATTCTTTCTTTCATCTTTCTTCCCACTCATTCTTTAGCTATTTCTTTCTTTCCTTCATCTTTTCTCGCTTTCATTTTATAACTTATTTTTTTGTTTATTCATTCGTTCCTTTTCTCCTTTCCTTCTTTTATTCATTCTTTGTCTTTTGATTTCCTTTCATCTTTCTTTCGTTTCTTCTTTCGATCGATTATATCCCCTCGCTGAATCCTTCCTTCAATTCTTTCTCCTTTTTTTCAGTTTTCTTTGTTCTTTCTTTCATCTTTACCAAAACAGAATCAGTATAACTTACATGCAGAAGTTTCGGTTTTGAATCAATTCAATTTGCCCTTTTTTGTTTTCCATTTCTTTATCTGTTTTCTTTCTTCTTCTTTACTTGTTTTTCTTCTTCTTTGCCTTTTTCTTTCTATGTGTTTCTTCTTTTCTTTTTCCTCTTCTTCTTTTTTGATTATTTCATCTTTTTTTTTTTTTTTTTGCCTGTTTCTTTCTTCTTTCGCCTTTTCCTTCTTCGATTTTCTTAATCTGCTTTCCTTTTATTTCTTCTTCATTCTTAATTCCTTCTATGTCTTCTTCTTTCTAGAGTTCTTTTTATTTCTTCTTCATTCTTTATTTTTTCCATTTCTTCTTCTTCCTCGATTTCCTTCTATTTCTACTTCTTCTTAGAATCTTTGTTCTCCTTTTTCCAATTTCTCCAGTTTATTCTTATTATTCTCTGCTTCCCCCCCCTCCTACCCATCTTCTTCCTTCATTGTCTTCTTCTGTGCCTCGTTTGCAAGCATGTCCGAACATTATCGGTCTATTAACAACAACAACCCCCACCCCTGTTGAACCTAGCGAAACAGTCACGAACACTACTCTCAGCTATAACTCTTATCTCCATAAACGATACATATCTTTTTTGCTGGTTGTACAATGATGGTTTCTTTCTGATAATAAAAGAACACCAAGTGACAAAAATGCATCTCGAATCAGATGCATCATGTCGTCGGAAAGATGTACCCTTTCAAATAGACATGTAGTTTGGAGCCACCAACTGCATTTCAAAGAATCGCCTAAAATTTGAAGCTGCCTGTCTTTTTCTAAAAAAAAACTTTACTAGTCCACTTTGGATCAGAGTTTTAAACACACACACACACACACACACACACACACACACACACACACACACACACATATATATATATATATATATATATATATATATATATATATATATATATATAAAGTAAGATATATAATCCGGTGTTTTTGTTATTTTTTATTTTTACAAAACAGTGCTCAATGTAAATTTACAGAGCGTAAATATTATAAATTAACTGATTTAAAATACGGTTTTTCGTTACATAGTAATAACCAGGTTTCAAAAATGGAAGCTAAAAACTTTAAATTTAATTATATAATTAAATTAAAAGCATTAGTTCCGTTTCATCTTCAAGCGAATATGGAATATATATATATATATATATATATATATATATATATATATATATATATATATATATATATATATATTGCCGCTAACACTCGTGTTGTTTTCTCAGACAAGCCTGTCCTTCCGTCTATGCGTAAAGATGTTCTGCCGCCACATCATAATAGTTCATTAATTTATTCTTTTAAATGTAGTTGCGCTTCACACTACATAGGGAGAACGATGCAAAGGCTTAATGCGAGAATAAAACAACACGTTCCAGCGAAAATCAGAAACCTTAAGTACACTCCCTTGGACATTTTGACCAATACATACTGGTCTGCTATCGCAGAACACCTAATAAATAGCCATAATTGTGCTGTTAGTTTTAGTGTGGACTCATTTACCGTCCTTAGCAGGTCCTACTCAAAAAAAGTGTTGGAGGCCATCTATATTCTATCATTAAAGCATTCTCTATGTAAACAGAGTGATATTGTATTAGGGCTCCAACTAATTACCATCTAAACATGAATCCATCTCTTCTCTTCCCAGCTATGGGTTGAATAGCAGGACAGACTGGGGTCCTATAGACTTGCTTGGTTTGGCAACCCGTCTACCACAGATAGAAACAGCAACCTACCGCGGGCAAATCTCTGCCTAGTTAGACACGAATCGAAAGAGACATAATCGCCCAAGCATATTATCGCGTATGGCACTTAAATGGACTGATATAAAACAGTAGTGATACCTGTTGTATTCACAGGTACAGTCCACACCCTACAAAGGACTTTATGTAAAACATATGCGATTTCTTTTTTCAAAACTGCTCAGTGGTAAATTTCATGATTTCATTTCTGACCTTAGATCTCTGGTTGGGACCCGGAAAGAAATGAGTCTACACCAGAAACCAAAGGAAATAAAATAATAAATAATAATAATAATAATAATAGATTCATTGAAGTAATTCCTGGTAGTCCATGCTAACAATTTTACTCACAAGTACAACTTTGTTTACAAAATTGATCAGTTGAAAATGTTATGGAAGAAAATGTCTATACAACAGAATTAATAATAATAATAATAATAATAAATATCAGAGCAAATCAGAAAAAAATGTACGAAGCAGCAACTGAAGTTGTCCCAATTGTGGTTAGCGCATTCTGGATTGGCTCCAAGAATTTCTCTGTCTCGTAAGACGCCTTGAGGGTTACCTGATACCATCGCAAGTGAGTAGGTAGCAGCGCTGCTTGGAAATGCTCACGCGCCATATAAAATGGTGTGTCTATAATCTGAGAGTAGGAGCTATGATATGAAACCGTCTCAGAATCAGAGAAGATTTCAAAATCCTATTTATTTACGACCGTATCATGTCGAAACACCGGTCCCTATACAATCACCGAAGTTAAGCAACGTCGACCCTGGTCAGTACCTAGATGAGTGACCGTTTGGGAATAATAGGTGCCGTAAGCTTGGATGTGTGGATGGTGTAATGTACAACGTCTCGGAATTGTTAATCAGAGAACCGAGTTCCAATTCCAGTAAGGTTCGTGATATTCACTTAGGCACAAATACTCTATCTCCCAGTCTGTTCATATCTATCTATCTATCTATCTATCTATCTATCTATCTATCTATCTATCTATCTATCTATCTATCTATCTATGCTTACGGTCACATCATGTTGAAACACCGGTCCCTATACAATCACCGAAGTTAAGCAACGTCGACTCTGGTCAGTACCTAGATGGGTGACCACTGGGGAATACTAGGTGCTGTAAGCTTGGATGAGCGGGTGGTCTAATGGATACAGGTTCGAAAAGAGCCGAATTCCAGTTTACGCAGAAATACTTTCTTCTTTCCCAGCTATGGGGTAATTACTAAGACTTGTGTCGTTAAATCATTAACATCCACCGAAATCTTTAGAATCTAAAAATCTTTTCTGGCTTTAAATAACCCCAAAAGGGTTGATTGATTGTAGAAAATGAATGAATGAGTGTTTCGCCAAAAAACGGATGACTAGTGTATTTTAAGTGAATAACGCTTTTGAGGCAAGCAGTTTTTGTATATAAAGTGCTCAACATAAATAAAACATTAATATTAAAGAAATAAAATAAAAATGAAAATATGTTTGAAACATTTTTTTGTTTACTATATATATTATATCGAGATATATATACATTGGGAATTTACATATATATATATATATATATATATATAGATATAACTCTAAATATATATATATATATATATATATATATATATATATAATATATATATATATATATATATATATATATTATAATATTATTAATATATATATTATAATATATATATTATATATATAACATATATATATATATATATATATATATATATATATATATATATATATATATATATATATATATATATATATATATATATATATATATATTATATATATATATATATATATATATATATATATAATATATATATATATATATATATATTATATATATAATATATATATTATATATATATATATATATATTATGTATATATATATATATATATATATATATATATATATATATATATATATATATATATATATATATATATATATATATATATATATATATATATATATATATATATATATATATAACTCCAACTCTTATAAAAAAGATAATAACTCCAAGCACGTTTCCTCCATACACAGAGAAACTGCTAAATTCGCATTTAAATATAACATTGCTGATAGAATGGGCACTACTCACTTGAAAGATGCCTACCTACTTTTTAAAGACCATAAACCTAACTTTCAAAATAATATATATTCCATACTAATAAATCCCTCCAAATCAGAGTTAGGAATAATTTCCAAAAACATTCTAAAAAGAATAAACACATCTGTATTAGAGAATTGCCCCTTAAACCTTTGGAAAGATTCATCTGACGCCATTAACTGGTTCCAAAATATAAAATATAAAAATAAAGCCACTTTTATCCAATTAGACATTATCGACTTCTACCCCTCTATTTCTAAAGATTTATTAGAAAATATCTTAAATTTTGCTAAAAATTATACTAAGATTACTGACGAAGAAGTAAAAATCATAATGGATTCTAGACAGTCTATACTGAGACTTAATGACACAACTTGGATTTAAAAAACAAAAACAGACAATTTGGATGTCCCAATGGGAGCATTTGATTCTGCTCAAATAGCAGACCTAATAGGTATATACATTTTAGATATTCTGAGCAGATTCCTTAACCCCCAAAATGTAGGAGGTTAAGGGATGATGGACTCATTGTTATACCTAATTCCAATGGGCCTCTAACATCCCAACTACAGAAGAAAATAATTAAGGCATTCAAATTTCTAGGATTTAAAATCGAAATATCATCTAACCTAAAAATAGTAAATGTTCTAGACGTAACATTTGATCTCGACCATAACACTTATAAACCCTTCCAAAAAGAAAACCAATCGCCCATATACATAAATATCGACTCAAACCACCCTAAAACAATTATAAAACAAATTCCAAATACAGTAAATACAAGAATAAATAAACTATCTTCTAGTAAAACTATTTTTAACCAAAATAAATCAACATACAATCAAATCCTATTAAAAATTAAATTTAAACAAACACTAAATTATATAGATAAATCTATTATTAACACATCCTCTAAGTCCAAAAATAGGAAAAGGGAAATTATATGGTCCAACCCGCCTTTCTGTAAACTTTCGAATATTAATATAGGGAAATACTTTCTTAAACTAATAGACAAACATTTTAGAAAAGATGAACTATTAAAAAAAATGTTCAACAAAATGAATTTAAAAATTAGTTATTCCTGCATGAGCAATGTAGAAAAAATTATTAGCTCTCACAATAGCAAATTTTTAAGTGAATTTCATAATAATCAACTACAAAAAGATCTTAATGCAAGCCAAAAGAACAAATCTACCTGTAATTGCTGGGAAGGATCCATTTGTCCAGTAGAGGGGATATGCATGGCAGAAAACGTAATATACGAAGCTACAATTTTCCCCAAAGAAAATATTAAACAGAAGAAGATATACATAGGAATATCGGCAGGAAATTGGAAGCAACGTTTTTATAACCATCGCCAATCCTTCACAAATAAATCTAAGAAGCACCAAACGGCACTATCAAAACATTATTGGGATTTGTTGGAAAGCAACTTAACCTCACAAGTAAAATGGAAAATCGTCTCGTGGGCTAGAACTCCAACAAAATTCAGAGACCGATGTAACTTGTGCATAAAAGAGAAAATCCTAATAATAAGGCATAAAGATCCGGACATATTACTGAACAAAGATAACGAGTTGGTTTTTAAATGAAGACATAAAAGCCACCTCAATTTAACTAAATATATTTAGAAATAACTATATAAAAAGGAAAATATTACTTTTGTTTTTGAAATGAATATATGAACACATGGATGCTGTGCTTGTTCGTATGGACACAAAAACGTAGATGAACTTGGACATTTATATGTGATTTTATATATGTATGTATGGGCATTTTGGATAAGGGTGTATATATGCATATATGTGTTTGTATGAATTGTAGGCGCATATATATATATATATATATATATATATATATATATATATATATATATATATATATATATATATATGTATATAGTATGAATATATATTTATATGGTATGTATAGGTGCAAGCGTAATTTTTTATTGGCTATTTTTTTGTATATATATTTGTATATATATTTTGAATGTATGTATGTATGTATATATATATATATATATATATATATATATATATATATATATATATATATTGTCTTGAATATGAAATTCCATGTAGAGACTATGTATGTATGTATGTATGTGTATATAGATGTAAATATTTGAGAGTTAATAATTGTAATATGCGTGAATATATGTAAAACATAGTAATATAAATACATATGCATGTTGGAGGTTTATGGGTATAGTTCTTTTTATATGCTTGTTTATGTATATATATATGTGTATGTATGTATGTATATATATATATATATACATATGTGTGTGTATGTGTATATGTGTGTGTATATATATATATATATATATGTGTGTGTGTGTGTGTGTGTGTGTGTGTGCGCGTGCGTGTGTGTGTGTACAGAATGTATTCCAATGGAAGGACATAAGGTCATTTTATTGTAATTTTAAAATTACTCTTTAATTAATTTAATCTCACTCTCTCTTTTAATATTCTATAATTAGAATTATGAGTTTGAATATTTAACATCTGGAGGTATTTTCATTTTAAATTGATAATTTAACTTAAATTTAAATATACCAATCTTTAACTATCTGATAGTAAAAATTATTAAACTATTGATAGTAAAATATTAAATTAAGTTTTTTTTTTATATTTAAACACTTCAGATGTCACCTAACGTTAAACATTAACTATGAAATTAAACAAAAATCTAAATAAATTCAAATATATAAATATATGTAATTATTTATAAATGTATGTGTATGTAATTTATGTATGAATATGTGTAGGTACCTGTGTATATCACTACATGTGTGTCTATGTGTGTAATTGCGCATGTAAATAAAAGTATGTAGATATGGGATTTACATGAATATGTATGTGATATATATAAGAAGAAAGCAAAATCTTTAGTGTTACCCTCAAATATTACTCTATTTTAATTAAACCTAAACTTCAAGTAAGAAAGTTTACCCATATAAAAATAATTACAAATTGCATTCATAAATTAGATTTAAAGATGTTACCGTAACTATTTTTACAATATTAAAAAAGAACGATTGGTCGGGTAAACAATCTGTTATAATTTAAAATATGTTTTCTATAAATGTGTTAATAAATATAGTATTTAACTTATATTAAATCCCTAAACTATTTGTTTTAAAAAAATTAAATATTTAAATTGATAGCAAACATCAAATTAATTTATTCGGATTTTTTAGACGTCTAAATTACTATCAAGCATTAAAATTTATTCTTTACATAAATTGCTAAAACCCAATTACAACCTCTTTCTCTTTACTTTCCTCTCCCTCTTCTTTTTCCTTTTTCTTTTTCCCTTCTCCACTCCCATTTCAATATATCACTTCCGTTAAGTTAACCTTCTAAATAGGTCAAGGTCTGGTCACTCCTCCTCCCCCAATACAAAGTATACTTGAGAGAGATATAAAATTAATCCCTCCCTATACTCTACCATGTCTCTTTAACTACTCCTTTTACACTCTCTGTTAAATTACACAAACTTACACTACCCATCAATTTTAATTTCATTTTTCGTTTCATTTCATTTTTAGATGTGCTATCTGATGATCCGGCGTCCTTTAAAAGGGCTCTGGTGAAATAAATTATTATAATGGTAACTCAAAGTGGTTTGTTTTCTCTATATATATATATATATATATATATATATATATATATATATATATATATATATATATATATATATATATAAATTCCCAAGAGGATAGAACCCAGGTAGAACTCAATGTCCAGGACTAAGCAAGAATATAATATAAAAGGCTCAAAAAAGTAATATTCCATGGTTATAATTTATTATATTGGAATCGTAATTACGATCCAATTCATCAGACCTTTTTGAATTTGTAGGTCTGATGAATTGGACCGTGATTACGATTCAAATGTAATAAATTATAACCATGGAATATTAGTGTTTATATATATATATATATATATATATATATATATATATATATATATATATATATATATGTGTGTGTGTGTGTGTGTGTGTGTGTGTGCATATATATATATATTTGTGTGTGTGTGTGTGTTGGTGCCATATATAGGTTTTAGACGTGTATATAAAATAAGAAGCGTTGCAGTAAATATCTGTAAAAACGAAAAAAGACTTTTGATACAGCCTTATATTATTATCATTTTCATCTCGTCATTGTTATTACACCAAATCTCTTTTGTACTTTTCATCTCGACTCTCTTCCTTTTCCTATGATCCTTACTGGTGGGTGCCATGGCAGACACTCAACCTTCCCTTATTCACCCCACCCTTCTTGCACACCTCCCCCGCCTTTTCATTCACTTTGATCCTCTGTAAATATTATCGCAATTGCTCGCGGGCCTTAGCACCATTTGAAAGAATAAGTGCCAACATATTCCACTTAGAGAGGTCGTGCTAAGAAAGAAAGAAAGAAAAAAAGAAAGAAAGAAAGAAAGAAAGAAAGAAAGAAAGAAAGAAAGAAAGAAAGAAGACAAGTAAACGAACAGCAAAGAAGAAAGATAAAAAGAAGCAGACAGGAAAAGAAAGAAAGAAAGAAAGAAAGAAAGAAAGAAAGAAAGAAAGAAAGAAAGAAAGAAAGAAGACGAGAAAACGAAAGCGCAAAGAAGAAAAGAAAAAAGAAAAAAAAAAGGAAAAGAAAGAAAGAAAAGAAAGAAAGAAAGAAAGAAGACGAGTAAACGAAGAGTAAAGAAGATAGAAAAAATGAGGCAGAGAGGAAAAGAAAGAAAGAAAAGAAAGAAAGAAGAAAGAAAGAATCGCAAGAGAAAGAAAGACTAACGGTAGAAAATTGGACAAACGCAAAAAGACATCGAGAAGGGCAGAAGCGAAAAGAAAAAAGAAAAAAGTAACAAAGAAACAAACAAAAAGAGAAATATGTGCAATATAGAGGAAAAAGAGGAAAAACATAAATAGAGAAGAAGGTAGTAGCGGAAGAAAAAAGTTCTTCAAACGTCGGTGGACGGACAAAGAAAAATGGCCGACAAACAAGATCACAGCTAAAGTGTGACGTCATAGTACTTCATGATCCGTGAAACTGTGAAAAATGATACGGCGTGATTATTCATGAAATGTTGAAACGTTTTCTATTTTTTTTCTTTTTTCCGTATGCATTTTATAAAGAAGAAAATCTAAAAAATAAAAACGCGTGGCGTTTGAAGCATATTTAAAATTACTGCGTCAGGTACTGATTAAGTGGGTCTTCGTATTACCATTTTTCTCACTTCTAACAATAATCCAATTAACAATATGGCTAAATGGTTAATATATATTCCTAGATCTTAACCGAGGTTCAAAACTTCTCTGAGCAAAGATGAAGCAATAATTAAAGCTTTTCAAAATAGCATATTTTATTGCAAAGATAAAAGTATCATCCATTAGTTCGCGTTGTGATATATATTTCAGATACTAAGTCGTAATATAAAGATTTTTTTATGATAGTAATATTCTACTAGTTATATCCCCGGCTTACGAACATTTCTCTTAATCATAATTAAAAATAATTCATTAGACGATGCTATTTTATTTATGGTAACTGGATTTTTGGCGATTGCCTTACTCCGTTTCCGCTGTGAGTCTGAAAAATGCCGTTTTTATCGAGGTTTTTTTCGGGGATCGATGAGGGTTAAAAAAATTTAAACCCAAGTCACAGGGTGTCTTCCCACCTGGCAGTAACCTCTCCTTTGGGAGCTAGCTAGATTCATTGCCAGGCTCCTGAGTCATCCCTAAAAAGGGGAAGTGCCGAGGGGAGTTAGGTCATTTTCCCCTGGTATTACCGTTAAACACACTTTAAACCTCGACTATGTGTCATTTCCAGTAGCGACGTGGGGGCTCTGGTAGATAAAATCGCTTCTTTTGGCTGGGATCAAAGTGTAGTATCTGCCCTCGGGTGAATGAACTACATTCATCTCTCATTTGACACTGCGTACAGAGCACAATTGAATAATATTCTTGAGATCTGCCCGCGAAAGTCCCCCCTCCTACCCTCATTGCGCGAAAGAGGCGGGGTCGGAACTAATACCGATGCCAGCAAAACTGATGGTTGCGGAGGTGGATGGACCTGGCCTCCGGGTGAACGCACTTGGCTCCCCACATTATATTGACGTCAACGTGAGGCGGCAAGAAAATACAATCGCTTTTTGACTAAGATCAAAGTGTAATATCTGTTCTTATCAGCTTAATTTGATTCTCTCATTCCGCGTCTTTTCATCACTTTCCACGCGATCAAAACGGAGTAGTCCATTATTTATGAGGTATTGGCAGGGCGTAACGGTCGTGCAAACTAACAGACTGGATGGGGGGACAAGCACAATTATAACAGGACAAAAGTCATTACATTAGTATTTTATAGTAAGACTAGTAATAATATCTGAGCAGATATTAGTTACAATTCAAGTATGTACCACCACTAGGACTACAAACGGTTTTGAATTCAAAGTTTTCCTTCCCTTATACTGTTTATCAACCACAGCTAGAGAATTCAGTCTACCTTGCTATTTAACACATAGATGGTTGGAAGAGATGGACTCATATATTTCCCAAGTATAGACTTGCGAAAGTGAATGTGACCATGCACATCCATACACATTCTGATCCTTGCCCTTTTATTATTCTCTGTTCTTAAGAGTCTTCTTCCATTAATCTCTTAGACTCAATAACACTTTGTGTTAGAGGATATGATAAAAAGACTATTATTAAGAAGAGAAAACAAAAAAGTGCTCAGTATCAGGAACAGAGCGTATGTAAATGTAAAAGGTGGACACTAAGGTCAACACAGAGCAGCGACAATCTGTTTGAACTCAATCTTCAGGCCAGGATATAACTCAATCTACATATATATAGGTCTGATGAATTGGATCGTACGATCCCAATGTAATAAATTATAACCACGGAATATTAGTACTTAAGCCTTTTGTACATCCTGGCCTGAAGATTTAGTTCAAATATATATATATATATATATATATATATATATATATATATATATATATATTTGAACTAAATCTTTAAACCAGGATATATATATATATATATATATATATATATATATATATATATATAAATATTCAGGCTAGAATGTAGGTGTATATATATATATATATATATATATATATATATATATATATATATATATATATATATATATATATATTCAATTAAATCTTATAGGATATATATATATATATATATATATATAACTATTGTCATCCACAGACAGACTGTTTCGTTGTATCACAGCTCATCAGTGTGGCTAGACATCCGATTGCCTCTAGCTAGGATTGAAACTCGACAGAATTATGTCAAAATGTAAAAGAACGAAGAATAAAATTCCAATGTTCAGAACATTAATTTAAAACAGGGCTCAATACAAAATTAGTGCAATAAATATTTATGATACACTGTTACATTAAAACATGTAATTACTACAAAATTATACATTTTGTTTTAACGATGATTGTAAACTTACCATCATTGTTAAGTACCCGATAAGACGTTCTTTATGTTCTAATATAACAGTGTATAATATATATACATATATTAAGTTGGTGCAAAAATAATGACGTAAGAATGTCGTTTTTGACGTTAAAAATACGTCAAAAACGACATTATTTTTGCACCAACCTAATAATATATATATATATATATATATATATATATATATATATTATTATTATTATTATTTTTTTAATTTGAAACTTTTTCCATATATATATATATATATATATATATATATATATATATATATCTTCAGTAGTATCGTTATCTCACATATATATATATATATATATATATATATATATATATATATATATATATATATATATATATATATATATATGTGTGTTTGTGTTTTTTTTTTGTGTTGGTGAGATAACGATATATACTTTTATTTATCAATAACAATACTGGGGAAATTGCATGACAAAGTGGAAAAAGTTGACTTATGATTTATGTCTTCATACAATTCAATTTGTTTGTTTGGTTCAACTACATACAAGCAAAAAAATATTCTAAAAATTTCTAGAATCGCCATCACTCCTCATTTTGTCCGCCTGTGTAGTGATACGAGCATAACAAATTTAGTCCGATGAGATAATGAAGGATCAAATAAATACGTCACAAGTAAGCTTTTTTTCATTTTGTCTTACAATTTCCCCTATATATATATATATATATATATATATATATATATATATATATATATATATATATATAATATATTCGAAAATTATAACATAAATATGTTATAAAATCACTAGGAAAATAGCCATTTTGTTTCAATACTTCTGGTGTCTTAACAAGTGATGGTGTTGAATACAACATAGACATTCAACACCATCACTTGATAAGTCTACCTGAAGTGTTGAAACAAAATCTTTATTTTTCTAGTGATTTCACAACATATTTATGTCATAATTTTCGAATAAATTATATTTGCTCTACTCTGTATTGAGCACTCGTTTAAGAATAGTATTTTGGTTATTGGAATTTATTCCGTATGCACCAATCTATATACTTATATATATATATATATATATATATATATATATATATATATATATATATATATATATATATATATATATATATATATATATATATATATATATATATATATATATATACTAATAATCATTATTTTTCTGACCGGTAACACAATTATGCAGTCTACCTGAAGTTATTATGTGAAATATAAATTTCAATAAGTCAAAACCTCCTGACCCAGTAGTTGTCAAATTTAAACTCGTCCATTTCTCCCCTTGATAAAATCTAAATTTTAAGCCACTTTAATGCTTATATTTTAATAGATTTGGAATTTATGAAAATGGACTGATTTAAGTTATTATGCAGATTAAACTAATATTAGTCTAAGGCCTTTGAAATCTTATAAAAACTATTATTATTTTATTTTTCCCACACTATAATGTTGAAATCTGGCTATGGGAAAGGATCTAACAAATGCTAGAAAACATAAAATAAAATTTATTAACTAGGGAATGGCCACATTGAAGATAACAAAAGATATTCACAAAAATGTTGCCATTTTATCCGATAGAGTTGTGTCTATGGCTCAAAGAAGGCAACAAATAGGTGACAATGTGATGATATGGGTGGGGATTGGACCATTCACTGTAGATGAAGGAATTTGAACAGTGCAAACTATTGCTATTTCATGGAAAAGACTGTCTTTGAATGGTACAAGTCAGAACCTAGCAGTTTCAAAGTAAAGTTTGTATTTATGCATGGGAGAAGATAATGGAATGTACACTATAAAGTCCCAATCTGAATCCGATCAAAAATCTATTGTCAATTTTGAAGATGAAATTTGCTCAAGGTGGTGAACTATGTGACGGCAGTGCAGACCCCATGAGAAGCAATTAAAACCAGCATGTCAAAAAATGAATGGATTATAGATTTGCTGGCTTTTATGGCGAAAAAGGGTCACACTTTATTAAGATGTAAATGGTTCAATAATTAATGAAAATTTCACGGTTTTCCAATTACCATAAAACATTTATTTTCATTATAATTGTTCAGATTTTACGAATTTAAGCGCATTACTAGATTGGCGGTAAGGTCTCATCCTTTTACAGTTGAAGTGCTTAGATGTAACCGTAAGTTCTATGTTAACAATTTCTTCAATCACACTTGTCATTTACGCAACTCTCTTCCGGCTTCTTACCTTTCTAGTCAATTTTGATCTTCAAAAACTTAAATGCAATTTTTTTCTGTTTTTTTTATTGTCCTCTAACCTTAATATTGTTTGTCTCTCTCTCTCTCTCGCGTGCTCTCTCTTTCCCTCCCTCTCGCTTTCTCTCTCTTTTTCCCTCTCACTCGCTCTCTCTCTCTCTTTCCCTCTCTCTCGCCCTCTCTCAGATTATTTCACATTCACGCACATCTGCGTCGTTGCTGCTTCATTGCTTTGATTGGATTGAAATCATTAAAAAAAACTGACAAGTAAATGTGTATCACTGAACAGGATTATTTACTGCAATGCATCTTAATTCTCCAAGACACAAGCTCAAGTACATGTTAACACCTCCAATCAGTTAAGACAAAAAGCCATGAGAGCCATATATCATCAAGACGTTTATTATTATTTTTATTATTAACACGTCAAGTGTTCACCAAAGTAGTAACCAGTGCCTTACACCAGGGATTTAGTGACTGCAAATCTTTTCCATATTCGATCACCCCCCCTCGGTATTCTGTTTTCAGTAATGGCGTCATCTACATGGATCCTACAATTTTTTACAGGCTTTTTGGTACTGTTCCCAGTATTTCGATAACTACTGGAACGGCAGTCACTTTTCCAAAACGTCCTCGGCTTTCTGGTCAGGTCAGGTTAAATTATTTTTTGTCTCCAATTCTAACATTTTTATTGCTTGATCATGGGTATGGATTGTTCAGACTGAGTGGGAGCAAAATGCATTATTCCAACATTTAAATTATGCGAATATATATACATATATATATATATGGTATCCATACATTATATGTACTATTTTTAAAATTTCCCCCAAAAAGGAAAAAAGGAACATAACTTTACAAATTTTATTGGAAAATATATATAGAACATGAAAGTTTTCTTGTAAAACAATAAAGTTTTATTGTAAAAAAGAAAAGCTTTATAGTAAAACAAAACTTTTATTGTAAACAAAACCTTTTATTGTAAAAAAGAAAATTTTTAAAGTAAAACATAACAGTTTATTTGAAAATCAAAAAAATTATTGTGAAACAAGAAAGTTTTATGGTAAAACAAAAAAGTTTTATTGTAAAACAAATAGTTTTACATATATCGTGGGCTCGATCGGTCGCAAGTATCACGTCTAGATGAGGCTCAATTTCTGTTTCCTACAAGACACTTCCTGTTTCTATAAACGTTTTATAGTATAAACATTTTATGGCATGCTAATACGAATTGCTGTTGTTTTTTTTGTTTGTTTTTTTTTGGGGGGAGAGAGGGGGTCATATTTTGTACTGTAATTCCAGTGGGCTTAAAGGTTTGATTTGTTCTCTAGGAACCGGAATACTCATTGTGCTTTGTCTTGTGGTGTTGCCATTTTATTTTTAAAATCCGGGATCAATAAGAAACACTTTAAACATCTCCCTGAATAGACAAACGAAAGCGAATAAAAAAAAAAGGAGTATATATATATTAAAACTTTTATAATATTTCTTTAATATCCAAAGAATTGTATTGATGGACCCAGATTCGTTGCAAGGGTCGCCCTCACCCCAAATCTATGATAAGGGGGCCACACTCTGCAAACATTCTAGCCATTCAGCCACATTTCGGCCAGCGCAAGTGTCACATTTCCCCCCAATCTATGACACAGGGCCCACCCACTCTACTACAACTCAATTTTCATAAGGTAGAAATTCATATGAACTACAAATGTTATTCTAACCTAATCTATACAATAAACCGTGGAAATTCCTGTCTATATTTCTGAGATGAGGTATTATGTACACTATTTACATTATTCGAACTATTGTCCTCATCTTTGTCGCCCCAATGAGCGAAATAAAGGGTTCATTTCGATATTCCATCCACCTGAAGAAGGCCGGAGCGTACAACGGCCAAAACGTTGTAATAAATATGGCGACAAAGATGAGGACAAGGATAATGTAAACTGTGGTAGTTGTACAGATCATTTATGGACACACCGTGTACATTAAACATCACTAGTAAAACACCACATGCATATACGCATGTAAAGTTACAAGCAGTGTGTGACGAATATAAAATCGCCTCTTCTTTTATAATATAAATTATTATTATTATTATTATTATTATTATTATTATTATTTCCTTGGATTTCTGTTGTACATATACTCATTTCCTTCCGGGTCCCAACCAGAGACCTAAGGTCAAAAATGGTTCATGACTTTTTCCACTATTCATTTGTATAAAAAATAAAATAAAAAAAAACATAAAAAAAAAGAAACATAAAAACCTTGTAAGGGGTGAGATGGAAGTACAATTTGTTTGATTTTATATTGAGCTAAAACCCTTTGTAACGGGGGTCTCTAACTACAACAGGAATTACTGGGTCCTCATGCCACATTTATTATTAATTATTATTATTATTTTTTTATCATTATTTCTTTAAGTCTGCGGAAAGACCTAAGGCAGGTCGTGGTGTGTTGTTATGCCCACATTTCACGATGAGTTGCTAGCGTTAATAGACAAAATTTTTTGTACTTAATAAAGACAATTTTCTGTATGTCTCTCTGGGGTTTCCAGGATTCTTTCAATGTGTTGTTTTGTTCCATTTTTATAACAGGCACCTATTACTGGTATTATTCTTGTTTTCAATTTCATTTTTCTATTTCAATTTCCAGGTCTTTGTATTTTTAGTTTTTTCAAATTCCTTGGTTGCTTATTACAATCCGCTGGACAATTATATCAATTTTTAGGCAATTTCTATACATTATTTTTCTGTCTGTGGATGGTATAATTTGACATCTTCTTTGTTCATATCCAGTGTTTGCTTACACATTTTCCAAAGTGTTTGCACATTGTCCAGTGTAAGTATTGCCCCACTCTATCGTGACGATTTTTTATATTCATTCTGGTCCTGAGATTAGATGGCCCTATAGAACCTGCATTTTGGATCATTATTATGTATGATATTTGCCTGAAAATTCCTAGTGAAAAGACTCTGATCTTGCGCTGCAAGAATAAAGCCTTCAGTTTCTCTCCAGATGTCGTAACCATCGATGAGTATTAACTTTATCAACATTGGGTTTATTTCGTTCTGGATATTGGGTAGAGGTTTGTCTTCAGCGTTGTTTCATCTGTTCAAGGGCTTTATGTTGCTTTCACATATCTTTTTGCTGCAATAGTTGGTTCTTGGCTTCTGTTTTTATTTACTACAGAATTATAAATGTAAATGTTGTTTGTATTTTCCTATTATTTTTTATTATTATTATTATTATTATTATTATTGCCGAGAGCTATACATTATGTTTCCTTCTTTGTATCCTGTAGAGTCTCAATGGTCCTTAGGCCCTATAGGAGAATTGTCATTTAATAGCACTCGATTTCTCCTAGTAGGGCGATCTTCTGGACCTTGTATGTTGGACAATTACCCGTCCATTCCTTTTTCATGGCCGAGAGCTCCGATTACTATTGGTTCTCAGATGGTATCTGCTCCAGGACCTTGTGTGGACAATAACCCGATAATTTTTTCATGGAGGTATTCAGATGGTCTTTTATTCAATAAGCAGACACTTTGAATTTATTGTCTTTTATTATTATTATTATTATTCATTTATTTCATTTATTTGATTTGTAATTATTATTATTATTTGATTTTTTTTTTATTATTTTATCTGTCCTAATGCCATCCAGTACATTTATATTGTTTTATTACTGTTAATAGTATTATTATTATTATTATTATTATTATTATTATTGTTTTCGTTACTGCCATTTTGTTGTTTGCTGTTGTTGTTCTTGTTGACTTTTTTCAAATTGTAATTATTTTTAGATCTAATAATTATAACCAGATTTAGAATTACTAATCAAAGAGAATGCAAAAGTATAAATCGAACTTTTCGCTTTGATTTGGGTTTTTCTTGTTTGTTTGTTTTTCCTTTAATTCTCGGCTTACATTCGCTGAGGTTTTTTTTCCGTTTTTTTTTTCGAATGCGAAGCCTTCCCATGATGCCACAGATTTTTCAGCTTCATTCTCTACCTTCTTTTTCGTTTTACTTTTGATATTTTTTCTTATATTCTCGCTTTTTTGTTCTCTCATTTCTGATTTTCCCTTATTTGATTTTTAATAACTCACCAATCTCTCTCTCTCTCCCATCTCTCTCTCTCTCTCTCTCTCTCTCTCCCATCTCCCTGTCTCTCCAATTCACTTCTTCTCAATCTTTGTTTTATGTACACCCCCCCTCTCTCTCTTCCTCACACACTCCCTCTCTTTTTATCATCTCTTTTATCAAGTTTTCCCTGGTATAGAATGACTCTTTTTGTTTCTCATAGTTTTATCGTTTTTCTCATTCGCCCCGCCTCCTTTATTTTTTTTGATATTCTTCCTTCTTTTCTTTCGGACACTGCGTCCTTTTTGTTGTTCATTTTGCTTATTTTTTTCTTTCTTTTTTCATTTCTTTTTCACTTTCTCCTTCCCTCTCCTTCTTTCTTTTTCCTTTTGCCTCTTTTTTTTTCTTTTTTTTCCTCATTTCCTTCTCTTATTCTGCCTTTGTTCTTCAACTTTTCTTCTCTCCACTCATATTCTTCTTTCTAGAACACTCTGTTAATTTTTCTTCCTTTCTTCCTCTCTCCCTCTCTCTCTCTCTCTCTCTCTCTCTCTCTCTCTCTCTCTCTCTCTTACATTATTTACTTTCATGCTTTCATTCGTCTGTTCTTTTTCCTCCCTCTCTCATACTTCTTCCTTTTTATTCATTTACCTCTGATCTTTTTTCTTTGCCATTTGATTTTTATTTTATTTTCTGTCTCCAATTTTTTTCTTTCTTTCTTTCTTTCTTTCTTTCTTTCTTCTTCTTCGTCTTCTTCTTCTTCACCCTAACTCACCAACATTTCTCTTCCTTCTCTCTTTCTTTCTCTTTTGTTTTCTTTGTTTTTTTTCTTTCTTTCTTTCTTTCAGTCTTTCTTTCTTAAGCCTTCAATTTCCTTTCAATAGTACACTTTCCTTTTCCATTCCAACCTTTCTTTTGCTCCTTTCTTTATTTCATTCGTTTTCTCTCTATCACTCTCTCTCTCTCTCTCTCTCCAGTTCCCCCTCGTCCTTATCTCTTTAGCTTTTTCCTCTCTTCTCTCTTTCTCTCTTTGATTATGCCTCAGTGTGCTATCCAGTTCTTCTCTTATCGAGTGACATCAAACGCTCTTTTATGCATCTGTCAGTTCTCGCCATATTATTTGGTCACCGAGTGCTTGCATAGCTAAATTCAATTAGACAAATTGCCTTTATAAGTGAGAAAATAACTTATACGTTCGACAGGGCTTTCTTTGCGTAGAGATGGTGGCAGGTTTTACCAGAGATTCTCTCTCTCTAACTCTCACTTTCTCTCCCTCTGTGTCTATGTGTGTGTGTGTCTTTGTCTCTCCCCACTCACTCTCGTGCGGGTATGTGTAAGAGAAAAAAAAGAGAGAATAAAAAGAGAGAATAAGGAAATGGATATAAAAAGGCAAAACTTTAGTGTGTCTGTGAGAGAGAGAGAGAGTAAGTGGCAGAAAGTTTCACGAGATAAGAGAGAGAGAGAGGGGGGGATGTTGGGAGATGGAAGAAAAAGTGAAAAAAGAAAGGAGAAATAAAGTAAGAGAAAGGGGCAAACGGTGTGTGCCAGTATAATGTTTGTGTGAGGGGAAAGCGAGAAAAGAAAAACAAGAGAGGACGAGAATGAGGGTGAAAAGAAACAGAAAAAGAAAGAAACAGAAAAAGAAAGAAACAGAAAAAGAAAGAAACAGAAAAAGAAAGAAACAAACTGGGCGCGTGTGAGAGAGAATGAATAAAAAAAGAAACAAAGGAAGATGAAGAGAAGGAAGCAGACAGGAAAGATAGAAATGGCGGTCGCGTACGTGTGTGTGTGTATGTGTGTGTATGAGAGAGAGAGAGAGAGAGAGAAAAAAAATAACAAAAGAGAAGGAAGAAAAAAAGATTAAAAGAAATCGAAAGATAGTTAACAAACTATTGGCTATAGAGAATGTAGAGATTCTTGATAAAATCGAAAGAAGAATCTGCAATGTTATTGGTTCTAATCTGGCATCTCAGCTTCAGTCCCTTTCCCGCCGCCGTAACGTATCTTCCCTGTGCCTTTTTTATAAATATTTTCCTGAGAATTGTTCTGATGATCTCTCCTCTTTAGTACACAGACTTCATGAATTTAAGCGCAGTACTAGATTGGCAGCTAGGTCTCATCATTTTACAGTTGAAATGGCTACATGTAACCGTTCTATGTTAACAGTTTCTGCGATCACACTTCTCTTGTGGAACTCTTTTCCGGCTTCTTGCTTTCCAGTTATATTTACTCTTCAAAAATGTAAATGCAATGTCAATCGTTATCTTCTGTTTTCTTAATTCATGTTCTTTTATTGTCCTCTTTACTTAATAATGTTTTCTTTTATTGATATTCTTTCACACTCAGTAATCCCACTTGCGTCTTAGTGGCGTTATTGCCTTGCTTCGGATGAGATGATTAAAAAATAAGAAAGATAAAAGTAAATCGAGCAATAGTCAACTGGCTATTACCCATTAGAGAAAGTTTGACCTAATGACTCATTATTGTGTCGATGTACTTGTAATGGAATTAGTTCCCTGTTGCCTTCTTCATGCTTTTGAATTCAGGATTTTTTTTTTTTTTTCTGTTAGGCTAGTTGACACTCGGGACTATCTGTTCATTTTCAGAAACAAAGAAAAGAGTGATGAACTTCTATATAATATATCTCCTCCTATATGACAGTGAATGCTGGACAATTTCCTCATACGTGTATCGGAAACTTGGGATGTGGTTCTATAAAAAAAATGCAAAAAAGGCATTTATATTAAGCATCACTTGAAAGAAAATTGAAATTTCTGGGACACATATAAGAAAGAAGGATTGGAGAATTTAACCCTCACAGTAGACTGGCGACAAAGGAGGATGGTAAAGAGTCAAACATTTCTTAAAGATACAAGAAACATTTCTTAAAGATACAAGAAACATTTCTTAAAGATACAAGAAAAAAGAAGTTGTGGAGAGCTACGTATGGTTCAAAGTTCACTTCTTAGACGACTATTCCCCTAAACATATATTATTTCACGCTCATTTTCGCGTTTAGAATGATGTAAAAGATTCTAGAAATATCTTTAGAATAATGTTAGGAAAATCTTAGAAGTGTTACTGAAATTTATTCTACTCTTTATTTCTTATGGTGTCAACTATTTTTATGCCGTTTGCAGGCCTTGATGAAATTTAGAAGCTGACATAGGCTTACGCCTAGATCAGGTTGAAACACTGATTCCCGTATGATCATCTAAGTTAAGCAATACTGAGCCTGGTCAATACTTTGATGGATTCCCGCTTGAGAATACTAGATACTGTAAGCTTGGATGTGGAGGTGGTAAAACTAAAATAAAATCAAGCGTAAAGAGGGATGGGTTTCGTCAGTCTATCTTGCTCTAGAAACACCACTTCTGCTATGGATGCAGTATTTAAGACACGAATGAAAAAAATCTTGCCTAAACGGAATATACTAGATGGGTAGGGCAAACTTCTTTGATTTCGTAATATTCGAAGAATTAACTAAATCAGAACATAGCTGGAACTGAGAGACACTTATTAATCGCAAAGCTACAGTGAACAACTGGCTCGTTTGAATAACGGAAACAGTAATTTTTTCTTCTGTATGACAGCATTTGTTCTCTAGTTGCAAATGTAACAGATTAGTTGGCATAGGAAGTTCTTCTACATCCCACTTAATCTCCAGATTTGATGATTTTCGCTTATTTCTTTATAAGTAACGCTCCTTATCATTTCAGCCTGTTCAACATTTTCAAAATAACAGTAAGTTTTCAGAAGGAATATTCGAGCCAAACCGGAATCTTTTTTTTTATGCTGTACTACACATTTCAATTGAAAGACGACACATTTCAATTGAAAGATGCTTAAGGCAGAGAGACTATATTTATGCCCGAACAATGACGCTATGAATTTATATGAATAAAAACTGTAAATGTTTGTATCAAGTGATTAGGGTGAAATGCAGAAGATGGCTAAGAAGAGGCGTATGTTTATGAAAAGCCAAAGAAAACAAGTGAGTGTCTAAATCAGTGCTTCTCAAACTTTTTGAAATCCTTCCAATAATTTTTGGCGCACTATATACAAATTTCAGAAAAATATGTTATAATGAAGTCAAATATTGCAGTAGGAAAATAATGCAATAAAAATATAGAATGAAACATACCTTAAGTTTATTCATTCTTGTGTTTATGAGAAACATGAACCTGATGAGTCTTAGCGATTTCTTCAATGTTTGGGCGGATATTTGATAGGCAAACTCTCATTTCCTCGTTAATATATTGAAGAATTCCTCTCTTTTTTGCACTTAATTGTGATGAGAGCAGAAAAGCCGAATTTACATAAATGTGAACGAGACGCGTACCGCAATATAATAAAGTAAATATATTTATTTCTTATAACTGGACACATATTTCTCTGGAAGATGCCAAGGCGCACCTAGATATCTTGCAGGGTGCACTATTTGGGAACTACCGGTCTAAATAATGAAACTATGAATTTAACTGTTGCTATACGGCGTTGTCTCACAAATACTTATAACAATTGCTTTCCATCTCCGTCAGTACTTCTTGTTGAAGATCAACAGTCATTGATTTAACACATCCCCGCGTCAAGTGCAACGGTATATGCCAGTTGTTAGAAATACTCACTGTTAATCAGTGAGCAGTTGATTCGTATGAATTACGCAGTGTGACGAAACGAGCTGTTTTCTTTAAGCAATTTACAGTTGAGTTGACTAAATGTAACCCTAAGTTCTATGCTAAGAATTTCTTTTCTCACATTTTTTTTTTTTTTTTTTGCTTGTGGAATTCTTTTCCGGTGCCTTCTCTCTCTCTCTCTCTCTCTCTCTCTCTCTATCTATCTATCTATCTATCTATCTCGTCTTCTCCCAGCCGAGAGTCGCTAAATATTTGAGGTCCAGATGAAAGACTGACACAGATCATTTTAAACATAACTATTCTATTAATGTTGACATGTACGAACTATCCATTGGGGGTCGTTCACCGTCACTAGGGAGCCGTTTCAAGCATGAAAGCGAACACGTCTACATTGCTTAGGATAGGGCATGAATACTAGATAATTGAATGAAATGTTTTCCGTACTCAAGGTTTTGCGAAGATTATATTTTACAATCGAATCTCCTGACGAGTGGATATAATAGCGGTACTTTGACTAGGGGATAAAAGATAGATAAAGCATTTTATTTTATCTTATTTCCTACCTTACACCCCTTCGACCTCAGTTTGAAAAGAGGGGGAGTTATAAGGTTATCATCTTACCTAGTAAGATGATAACCTTAAAACCACACCCTCTTTTCCTTTTTTTCTTTTTTTCACAAGAAGAAGCTGTATTTTGCTTTTAAATCTGATTAAATCGTTCACTCGCCAGTTATTTGCAATCGGCTGATGAGATGCGTTGTATGCGCAGCGAAACACAATTGCAATTGTGTAGCGATTTTGACACGTTTTCCCTTGATAACAAGCACTGTAATTACAAAGACGCGACTGGCTGCCTTAAAAACGTTATATTCAAGACCATTTCTTTTAACGAAATACAATTTTTGTTTTATATCAAAAATATATATATATATATATATATATATATATATAATGGTGGGGGATGGCCGAGGTGTCAAATTGCCCGATGACAAGTGAACCCCTGATGGTATGGGCCCCCTATATCAATTAAAATCAGAATAAGCAAGGAAACACAGACAGCTGCTTTATTAATAAAAAGGGAATAAGAATTTTATAAAGTCATCTGCACACAATCAGTTACTCAAGTCCAATGTGGGAGAACATTTTCAAAGCTAAAGATCATGAAGACATTCGCTGTTTAAGGAGAAATTGGAATCATACATGTTGTTATTCTTTGAAAAGTAATTGTTAGATGAATTGGATGCAGAAGCAATTATTGGCAGATTCACACATTTATCCAGTGAACACAAACGGTTGCCCGTTATACAGTGGTCTGCATACAATGCTCTATTGGGCTTTTGAACTTTCTGATAATGTGTAAATTGTGTAGTAAACTATTTCAAAATATCAACCAATTATTTAAAATTAAAAAAACAAATAAATAAGAAATTCAATTCTCACATTTTATATTTACATTTGCAATCTCCTGTCAGTAATATGTCCAGTACATGGACATTGTCATTGTCATTGCTATGAAATGCACTTTTTTTCTTCCACAAAAAATTTAATTGTAACCTTTTTTCCACATGTGTATTTTGAAAATTTTATTTATTCGTATGAATATTAAATGATAGAATTGTAGTTGTGTGTGGCTCTCCCTTTGTCTCTTGGCAAACAATATTTTTACACCCAGTTTGACACTGTTTACACGGTACGATGCGTCAATTGTCGCCATTTTACATTTTAAATTTCGCGCATGCGCGTTATTTGTTTTTGATTTTGTCGACTACACAGTATAGTAGGATCATTTGGACACCGTCTGTGAGAAAAAGAGCACCATGATGCAATGCACTCTGACAGAAATTTGGAAACAGTATCCTATACTGCTTGGCATTCGCGCTGGAAGCTCCAATACAACCATTTCAGAGTGTTTGGGTGTTAATCTGAGGAGAGTGCAAAGGATTTGGATGAGTGTAATTGTGATTACGAAGGTACGGCAGCTTGGAAAACTCACTTTGATCGTTATGATAAGAAAAGAACTCCCGAATTTATTGGTGAGAGCCTCAGAATCAACACGGAGGTCTACATGAAGTGCCTTGACGAGGTAGTGCTACCTTGGGTCAAGAAGATGTCTGCTGGACTCTGCACCAAACCACACAAGAAGGAGAACCCAGTCATAGTTGTCAGACAATTTCTGCGACCACATCACACCTTACATCTGACCACCTACCTCCCTAGACTACAACCCATTTAATTATTATGTGTGAGGGGCAGTTGAGCAAGAGACCAACAAAACTCCTTGTAACACCAAAGATGAACTGAAGGCAAGGATGATGGTAGCATTCACCAACTTAAACAAGGAGACAGTCCAGGAGAGTTGCAGAAGATTCCGAATTCGTCCTGCGGCCGTGGTTGGAGCCAATAGCGATTTTATTGAACAAATTTACTCTTTATTATTTCAAGATATATTTGTGTAATTTCGGTAAATGTATCTGTTAAAATGAGATGTCTGTATTATTTTCATTTTTGCGTCATTTTGACGATAATTTATCCATCGCACACTTATATATATATATATATATATATATATATATATATATACATATATATATATATGTATGTATATATATATATATATATATATATATATATATATATATATATATATATATATATATATATATGAGTGTGTGTGTATATGTTTATGTGGCTGTGTGTGTGTCTATACGTACATTTCTTTAAATTCTTTATTATTTTATCTATGTTCGGTAACTGCAGCCGAATCTATTGGCGGCGGCCATATTAGAAATTTGCTGGCGGGCAATGCACCAAATGAACGTCTTCTCGGCCGTTTTTTTTTTTTTTTTTTCAACAGTCAAATGCTAGTGATGCACTTGCGCCATTTCTCTGAACGTAGTTAATGCGCATGCTCTCAACATGAAGCAACGCGCGTTAACTCAAGAAAATGATTGGTGGAGCAGATATGATACGAAAATGTGACAGAGACAAAGGCAGAAAAAACATAGGAGGAGAGTTAGCGAGAGGAAACTTTGAAAGAAAGTTAAATGAGCAAAAGAAGAGTAGAAAAAGATGGGGGAGGGGGGAGGGGGAATGGAGAAGGAGAGAAGAAAGGATGAATGAATATAAATAGAAAGGAAAGTGAAAGAAAAAAAAGGTTGGAAATAAGGAACGAGGGTAAGGAAAAGGAAGGGAGACTAGAAAAGATGAATGAAATAGAGATAAAGAAAGAGAAAAAGATCAAGAAAGAGGAGGAGGCGGAGGAGGAGGAAGAACAAAGATACTAGAAAACGGAAGCTAATAATGAAAAATAGAAGAAGAAGAAGAGACAAGAGAAATGTGGAAGAAAAGAAGAGGGATGGCTTAGGAAAGTAATGTTGAGATGGAAAAAGAAAGAAAGAACGAAAGAAAGAAAAAAGAATGTGTAAGAAGAATAAAAGTAAAGCGGCAAGAAATTAAAGAATAATGAAGAGGGGGAATAGATAGATAGATAAATAGAAAGAGATAGAGAGAGTGAGTGAAAGAGAAACAAACAAAAGATAATATATTCAAAATAGGATTTATTTGTTTGAAATGTATCTATCGAAGTCTATTCTTCAGTGTGTTTTTATCTATGCGTGGATATACACATAGCTTATTTCATATCAAAAATCAAACAAAATTTCGGAATTTCCCATAGGCACCGACGGAGAATTTTATGAAACTTTACTATATGGCACCGATCTATGATAAACGAAAAACCTTAAAATTGTAACCTTCTTCGTCTCTAAGTTCAACGGTTTTGGCCTCTTAAAATTTGCTGTCATTTTTTGCTGATTTCAAAATACCACGATGTGCCAAGTTGTGCACTTCATAACATGTATTTAAAAAAAAAATACCGCGTTGATATGTAGTTTCTCTTGCTTTTTTTAAAAAAAAAAAAAACTGTCTGTTACGTCTACCGGCCTACACATACGGTAAAACTTAAAAAAGAAAATTAAATTCCAGAGAGCACATTTTCTCGATTGGGCACGTCGGTCGTGGCAATATACACTGTTTACAAAACTGTAAACCAAAACAAAAAGGGGGACATCTATTTCAAACACTAGCAACAACTAAAAGTAAACTTTGAAGTAATTATATATATTTATATATACTATATTTTATGATATTATTATATATCATTATATATAGTACTTCAAACATTTTTAATAACTTTCTCGGCACTTGAAGATTGTGATGTGCGTGAAGGCTAAGAGCTGTGCCACTGGTGCGGGAATACTTTGACACTAAATTTAAGGTATATATATATATATATATATATATATATATATATATATATATATATATAAAAGGCATGTTATATTTATTGTGGCCTGACGATTGCGTTTAGCATGAAACAGTCTGTCGCCTCTAAGTGTTGACTTCAATATTCACTTTTATATATATATATATATAGAGAGAGAGAGAGAGGGGGTGAGCGAAAGAGAGTGTGTGTGTAAGAAAGAAGTAAGAAAGTCGTAAAGTTATTAAGAAGAGTAATTGAATGAGAAAGAAGGCCGGAATTGTTGTCTGTATGGGAACCAAATTACAAGAGAAAATGGCGCAGGCAAAAATATGTAACAACGATAAAACGATAAGGCGGAAAGAAAGAGTTGAAAAGCGCCGAGCAAAGAGAGGAGGGGGAAATCAGATAAAAGGCAGGAAAGGCAAAACCAAGAAAGCAATGAAGCCGAGCGACAATTAGTGAAGACGAGATTAAACGCTGGCATCCGGACATTCGAAAGACATAAGAGAATTACAGAAAAGATGACTGTCATGATTGATGGAGCAAAGGGATGAAGCAGAGGGTTTGCCTCGTGGCTGAGGTAGTCGGGCATTGCTCATCGGAAAGTTTCTTGAAATGACTATCAGTTGCTATCACCTACTAAGGCAGACTGTGTTCCGTGTTTTGGCTACCAGTCTAGGAAAAGTACAAATGTGAATTGAAAACTGTTGCCAAAGCAGCAGGATACCATTTCACTATCTTTTTCGAGAAGTCATGGCAATTTGCAACGCAAGGTACGCAAAAACAAGAACCAATATTCTTTAGAAACGAAGAGCAATGCTGAACTGTTATTTAATATTATTCCAGTGAATGCTCATAAAATTATTTTAATGAATATTATTCTAGTAAATGAAAACTGGAGATGTGGTTCTACAGAAGGATGCTGAGAATACCATAGAGGAAGCGCGTAAGCAACGAAGAAGTCTTTAGGAAAATGGGGTAAAAACACTTATACTCAGAAACAGAAAGAGACAGCTGGATTTTCTTAGATACATAATGAGGACAGAGGGCTTGGCGAATTTGGCATTCACATGGCATATCGAAGGTAAAAAGGACAAAAGAATTCAGCGGGCTATCTACATGGCGAGTTTGCATGAGTGAAATACGGGACGGGGAATGGGAGAGATGGTAAAAAGACAAACGTTACAAGGAGTAGGAAGTTGTGGAGAGCCATGATAGCCCACGTTCTGTAGGGACATGGCACAAAGAAGAAGAAGAAGAAAAAGAAGACAATTTACAGATATTAAAGAAAAAGAATGTGCAGATAGATGTGATCGCATCAACCAAACTGACATTTAGAACCAAAAACACGCGCCTGCGCTGCACTAATGCAGTTTTAACTTACATTGAGTGTGAGTGACTTTTCCAGCAACGAGTAGCCGTTAAAACTGCAATCATTTAGTGATAATAATTTTAACAAGCAATTCCTATACTGACTATTTCTGAAGGAAAAGTCATGCACGAGACTAGTTCCACTCTCTGACCGACAGGGTAGCATTACCCCCCCCCACTCCTCCCGAAATCGTAGGTTTTATATCAGTGCACCCTCTTGTATATAAATCACTAGAAATCCACCATTTTCAGTAAGTTTAGCAGGTCCTCTACCCGGTTTTCCATAGAAATATCAATTATAGATGGCGCTCTGACAACGTTTATCCCCCCTGAGTTAGAATAAAACTGAGATGAATCGCAAAAGAAGAGTGATTTCTCACTCCACAGAACTCCTTAGAACTGCCGAGCTGGAGCCTTGCCACTGGATACATATTGTTATTTCCCTTAGACAACATACAAATATATGATTGATTTAAGTTTCAGAATTGTCAATGTTGACGGACAAGTTTACAGTGGGTCAGCATGCAGATATAGTTCAGTCACATTGAGCAGCACCCCCTTGGCACATGGACACAATCGATGGATACACAGATGTGTTAGAAGTCAGAAAAGATTATGATGCGTCATCTACTGGACTTGAACAAAAATTCGTAGCGTTTTTCAATAGGTAACGTTTGGTCACGTGACTACGATCTTAAGCCCTTCAAGTCTAGGTTCAACCGTTATATAGCCTACATATTCCCATATTAAAAAAAATGTAAGTACATTCAAATCAATATATGACACATACACTGAGTCAATTCGTCCTCATTCCGTTCATATTCCATTGATAAAGAGGAATATATCCTACCTATCCTCATAATATGCACACTTTACTCCTGGGTCATGTATTGAATGAACAATAGTTCATATATATTGACTTACATATGAAATAACATAAAGTGTGAATAATAACCAACAGTTTAAGAATTTACCGAGCTTCCCTGGTAAGGCAGTTTTTATTTACTGCTTGAAATTACAACCAATTTCTATAAATGCACATGAGAATCAAATTTCACAACTTACAGAGGTGTTATCGATATGTCTTAGTTTTTAACCGATTAATAATTTCCCAGTAATAATAATATTGAATTTTTCTCATCAGAATCCATTTTATACATTTATAAACCTACCGTTCGTCTGTGCATATCTGGTCTAGTGTTCCAGATTCTTGACAAAATTTAAAGAAGTGACTGTCATATAATTGGTCCTGACCTGGCATCTCAACTTCAGTCACTCTCTCAACACCACGACATGGCTTCCCTCTGTCTTTTCTACAAATATATTCATGACAACTGTTCTGATAAGCTTTCCTCATTGGACGTGTTACCAGATCTCACTATTTTACTGTTCAAAAAGCCAGATGCTCCTGCTATAAATCTCGATTTGCATTTTAGAACGACTCCTAAGAGGGTGCTTCCCGAATCATTATAATCTTAATCTATTCAAGTCTCGGCTCATATTCTCATAATACTTACCGCTAAAGACTAAAAAGTACATAAATATCTTGACCTTGTCAGAGAACTGAAGATGTTTTGGAACATAAAAGTCACACCTAGCCCCACTCATTGGGATTTTTCTAGAGGATTCGTCTATGGATTGTGAATCTAAATTTTTTTTCGTTAAAAGTGAAAATCGAAAAAAATAAAATGGATTTTTGTTATCTAAACCTCCTTTTTTCCCAAAAAGACAAAAAAATAGAAAGAAAAAAAACAAAAAAAGAAATATGCGCCCTTTTATGGAGATGTTGTCATAGTCGTCTCAACTCAAAATCCCGTATGATAAGTGAACATGGAATAAATTGTAATAGTATGATACATGATATCCCTGAAAAGCTTATTTTGTATAGATTAACATATCAAAAGTCTGCCTCTAAAACAACCTTTTTCAACCGGTGCGCCCTGAAAAGTATCTAGGTGCGTCCGAAGTTAACATGAATTATTTATCTATATTTTTTAAAAGCTCGAAACACCAAACACATGGCTTCCATGTCTAAATCAAGTCGTTGTAATTTGACATTTTAAACTGCAGGTTATATTCCTTAATCTTTAAGTAGGGGTGGATAATCCTTCCTCTTTTGCCATCCTCAAGAGTTTTAAATCAGTCATTATCAACCACTCTAAAGAAAAAAAATGCAGATTCTTCATGAATCACTTTAACTGGAAAATGTAGGTCTAATCTTTTTTGGGTACGCTAAACTAATTTCATATTTTCAAATTTCATGAGTAGTTTTCCCTTATTAAAAACTTAAAGTGCGCTCCAGAGTCTTTGCCATTCTACAAGTGCACCATGAAATAAAAACAACAAAAATAAACGTTGAGAAACATTGGACTTAATTTTTTAGGGAAAGGGAACTACTTAAATAGATTGGTCCCACTCAAAAAATAGGGAAAATGCTTTAGAAAATCGTTTTTGTAACTACATATTTACCAGACATTCTTCAAGCAACGACATTTAGCAGAATCGAAAAAAGTTTTTTTTATCATTTTAGAAGAGGAGTTTTGTTTATAATATCGATAAAATGTAAAATCGATCCCTGAATGTTTTTTATAGTGCTATCTAATCTGAGCTGTTTTGCATACGAAAACAGAGTTTTATTTTTGCAAGGGTTCTTTTAAATAAACAACAGTTATAATTATTTTTAATTTAAGAAAAAAACTAATTTATTAAATTTAATAAACGGCATTGCACAGTTTACTCTTCATTTAAGATAAATAATTATTTTCCACCGATGTTTGTGCATGCACTTTCCGAAAAAATACATCCACCCAACAAAAAAGTGTTGAAAAAGATTTGAAAATTTAGAAAATTAAAAAAATATATAGATATGAATAATGTAAAAGCAGTTTCAAAGTTAACATTTATAAATACATAAAACTAAGTTCAATAACTCTGTAAAATTCAGGTATCGATTTTACGCTAATTGCTCTTATAAACAGGACCTCCTTTCTAAATCGATAAAAAAAAAGTTGTGGAAAGTCTTTTGAATGCTAATCTACAAAAACTATCTTTCGAAAATATTTTCCAGACTTTACAACCAGTTAAATAATGTATTGCACCCCCTTCCAAAAATAAATTGCGTGCCCTTGAAGCATAATCACATTTCGGCCTTATAATAGAACTTTTGGCCCTATGATAATATTTTTGTAGAAATACAATCACCATGTTATAAGAAACTTCTTTTCATATCTCATGGAAAACTTGTTAACTGAAATACAAATGCGTACCAAATATTATTCAGTCGATATTTGAAATATTAATTGATGGCAAACACAAAATCGGAATTGATTCTCGGTTAAAGCATTCAACACAGACTGTAGAGGAATGCATTGTTTTTAAGGGATTATAACAAGGTTCAAAAGTGGAAACTTTGATCCTAAAGACGGAGAACATTCCAGCAGGCAAGCAGTTGTTAATGATGATGATGATGATGATGAAATCAAAATGGTGATTGAAAACAATGCACATCACATGAAATTTTCATTATTTGATGCTTTTATTTCTGGAAAGGAAAAAAAAATGATGTACGAACAGCAAAAACGATATATTCCATTTATGGAGATGGTGCCGTAGCTGAGGGCATTGTTTGTAAATGATTTGCTAGTTTCAGAACTTCTGATCTAGAACCCCGAGAACATTCCAGCAGGCAAGCTGTTGTTGATGATGATTAAAAATAATTCTGGTCACTCGCAAACATTCCATATATTTCATTTGAGCGTTGTAATGCCTTCGGATACATGAAACGAGATGTTTGGAGGCCTCATGATGTAAATGAGAAGAAAATTGATAAACTAAAATTGATGAACCACATGCGATTGTATACGCAAATGTAATAATATGAACCATTTTTATTAAGAGAAAAAAGAGAAAAAAAATAGAAGAAAGGTAATGAAAATGAATTTTCGAGAATACTTCGGAGTGAAAAAGGCTCTCGGAAAAATAACAGCGTCAACAACTCCAGAAGGTTTTCCGAAGAAAATGATGGTTTGTATCTGGTGGCGTTTAGAACAGCCTGGTGTATTATGGCGTCCTTTCGCCAAATCATTTGTTTCAATTCAGGCGAATACCGTTCTCATTTGAAC